CAGGCGCTGTGATGTTATATCATGTGATCGGTACAGATTTTGCAATAGCACACTTAATTGAATGAGTTCCAAGAGGGCAGGGCTGATTTACCAGTTTCATTGGTAATGCAAAAACGGTTGGTTCACATGAAATGATTTTAGGAAGTTCACTTGGCATATGACTAGTTGCCATCAGTTTGCCTATTGTTTAATCTATATTTGTCGGGCTGCAACAAACAATTATTTTGATAATCTGTTAATTTATTTCTTTGATTAATCAGATGATAAAAGCTTACCTAAATCATTTAGATGGTAATTAATAAAAAAGAAAATTTTTTACATCCTGCCCAGTGTTTTCCTCCAAGCAATGTTCAATTTAAAGGTAGGGATGCACAGTATATTGGCTAACTTATCCACCGATATTTGTTCATTTAATATTATCATTACTGGGCCGTTAGGAAAACTTGGCCAATATATTAAAGCCGTTAAATAATGGCTTATATCCTTCAGCTGAGACATTTCGGATGCGCACTGTTCGCCATGATGGATTTGATTTGCTGTTTTAAATGATTTAAATCACTTCAAAAAGAAAAATGCAAGTGCGTGCCCTGCAAGCCTGTCATATAGGCTACATACAATTATGAGAACATTATAAATGTGTGCTTGAAACGTTCCTTTTAATAGTTTTGTTTTTGTAATCAGACTCTCAAATTATATAATTTAATTTATCAGCTAATATATCAAGTTATTGGCTTTCATATCAGTGCATCCCTAATTTGAAGGCAATGAAAACAAAATATATGTAAAGTTCAATTAAACATTCTGTGAGCTTGCAGGCACGTTTTGTTTGTGACGTTTTGCATCGCTCGCTGACTTGTGAAATGAATTTACTCGTGACTTCCTAACGAGGATACAACTGTAAAATGTTTGGCATGCTAACTATGCTCTGAGACATGCATCTCGATGCATTCGTCAAAGAAACATTTTCTCAATTTGAAAGCGTCACGCAAGACTTGCAATGTAAACTTTCCCTCAAATTTGACTTAAACTTGTTAGATGCAAATATATAATGCCTAAAACATCCTTTAATACATTACAACAGGTTTGACTAAAAAAATTAAACGAGACCATGTATTTCTCTGGGTTATTTAAAATATGCCTTGCTTTTTTTTTAAATGCATGAATTAACATGAAAAAATATTTTGTATTGTGATGCTATTGCTGACTTGCTACATTTATATGTACTGTAATATAAGATTTTTGCTCATGCCACTTTTAATCTTTGTGTTTATGTATGACAGAAACCGGAAAAAGATGAGTGGGGAAGTGGCGTTGAAGCCCTGGAATGTGCCCTGCAGCTGGAGAAGAGTGTCAATCACTCCCTCCTGGAGCTGCATAAACTGTCCTCCCAGCACAACGACCCACACGTGAGTGACACCTCAGAAACCAATGCATTGACTTTCAATCAACTAAACTTGATCCAAACACACTCTTTTTGTTTCTTGCAGATGTGCGATTTCATTGAGACACACTACTTGGACGAGCAGGTGAAGTCCATCAAAGAACTGGGCGACTGGGTGACCAACCTGCGCCGCATGGGCGCCCCCCAAAACGGCATGGCAGAGTACATGTTCGACAAGCTCACCCTTGGCAAGGAGAGCAGCTAAACGCTCTGTCCAATTCCTTTGCTGATGAAATTTGCTCTATGCCCTACATGCCATCAAATTTTATTTTGTTGTTTGACTGACTGGTCAACTTTTGTGTCCAGTTATTTAAGCAGAAAAACCTAAGCTTTTTTTGCCCCATAATGCTTTGCTGTTAAAAGTTGCACATCTCATAAGCCATTGTGTTCTATCTGTCTCCTACCTGCATGTGCTGTGTGATTTGTCAATGAAATTATCCTCCGTCCATATCAATAAAAAAGAAACCTCTGGGATCTCAACTTGACTTTTGACTCTTAAGTGTTTCCAGGCTTTGATTTGAGGTGGTTGTTGAAGTTTTTCAACAAATTATTTTCGTTGGATATTTGAATTTATATTGAGTTTGGTCTGAGAGCAGGAGTTGTGGAAAGTAGTGTGATCGTAATAAAAACAAAAAAATGAATGGCAGTTTAATGTTTGTGCTGTACAGGTGGTTGTTTTGGGCTCCATATACATTACTGCTCAAAAGGCTGCATGTATTTGATTAATAAGTTTAATTATTATTTTTACTATTTAATAATTTTTACGTTTGAATAGATTTTAAAATGTAACTTCCTGTTCTGCGAAGCTGATTTTTAGCATCATTATTCTTCAGTGGCACATGATCCTTTAGTTACTTTACATCCTTGCAGAAAAAGTCTTCACATGTCGCAATGTGACTCATAATTTGCAAACTTTTGTATCCGGGTTTTATTTTCTATGGCTAATCCAGTGATTAAGATTTGATGGTGATAAATATGATCAAAGTCATCACAGTCTTAGGTTAGCTATGAGTAGACTTGCGTTGATGCCAGTGAAACTAAACACCCATCTGATCCAATGTTTTAGTCTATTTCACAGACCGGACCTATAAGACCCCATTGACTTCCATAGTAGGAAAAAAATCCATACTACGGTAGTCAATGGGGATTGAGATCTGTTTGATTAAAACATTCTTCCAAATATCTTCCTTTGTGTACAGCTGAACAAATAAACAGAGGTTTGGAACAACTTGAGGGTGAGTAAACGATGATGGAATTTTCATTTTTGGGTGAACTATCCCTTTAAGCCTTGTAGCAGTGGTGAAAGTGTTAATATTTCAGCCAGATCTGACATCTAATTCCTGTAGTCACTACAAAAAAAGAACAAAAGTGGTTGAGAAGGAAATAAAAACTGACTACTTCTCTTGTCATAAGAAGCAGATGTTATTTAACCTGAGTAGGCCTACAGATTATCAGTATACACTTCCTCTTTTATCAACTGTCATTGATATAAAAAAGTGAACAATGCATTTATAGCATGTAGAAAAAACAATGAGCGGTTTCTGCAAACCAAAACGGACACAACTTATCTATTTGGAAGTGTTTCAGTTCACTGTGTAGGCTACTTCTTTTGTTCCAAAACGATTCATTTTAAACCTTGTTACCTTAATTGTCAATTTTTGTCTCGAACTGGTCAGTGTTTTTGTTCATTAATTAATTCGTAATTAAAAGCTCATCACATGATACATCCCATTTCGTGGCCAAGAACCCTTTGAACACAAAGTACAAGACTAAAAATGACTGAATAATGAATTCATAATCTAGATTGTCAACAAAACAGATATGAGGAAGTCAGCATTAGAATGTAGTGAAACAAGAACAAGACATTGATGCACCTGTATTGTGTCTATGTACTTGTCAACAACATGAACTTGCTAAAAAAAACTGCATGTCATGGTGAGCCCTGCTTTGTTACACTGATTATGCAATCTATTTTTACTCTCATTCTTACAGACAGGTTAGTGTCCACGTGCAGCAGGGAATACCAGATTAATGTTAGGTTGGTTCAAGTACATACAGTACAAACTATACAATTCTGTTTTTGGATTTACCAATTTTATCAATTCACTATACTATTCTTTTTTTTATTAAAACTTTAAAATGAATAAAAATATATATAATTGGTCAAAACAGTAGAAACACACACACACACACACACACACACACACACACACACACACACACACACACACACACACACATATATATATATATATATATATATATAAACTTTCTATTCATCAAAGAATCCTGATTTTTTTTATAATAATAAAACAATAAAATATTAAGATTCATAACTGTTTCAACATTGATAATAATAAGAATTGTTTCTTGAGCAGCAAAGCAAATAATATCATTTAAGAAGGATTTCTGAAGGATCATGTGACACTAAAGGGTGGAGTAATGATGCTAAAATCAAATTTGAATCACAGGAATGAATTACATTTTCAAATACATTCAAATAGAAAATAGTTATTTTAAATTGTAATAATTTCTGCACAATATTGCTGCTATTGTTGAACAAATAAATGCAGTCTTAGTGAGCATGAGAGACTTCTTTCAAAAACATTAAAAAAAATGACTGACCCCAAATTTTAGTAGTGTAAATAATGAATAAATCTGACACATTTTAGAAAATGTTTTGAAAATGTGTTTTTGGTTACAATGATGTTTCTTGTTAGGATTTCTTTTTTAAAGACCTTTCTTTTTTTGTACAATATTCTTTGTCATGGATTTTCATTTCTATTTTGGTAACTGAAAAACATGTCAGCTGTTGTACGCTTGAGTTTAAGAGTCTGAATTTGTAGTTTAGCTAATAATTTATGTATTATCTGATAAAACAATCTTATAGGGTCATTATCATAACCTACTTTTCCGTGTGTGGGTCAACTTTATCAGTCAGTTACAGGTGTAATGAAGACTTCAATACTTCTGCTTTCAGATTTAATTAATCACACACACACACACACACGTGTGCAGACATCTGGAATTTCCTTCTCTCGAATGACCTGTTGCAGAAGTGACAGAAGTGAAACTGAAATTATTTGCATGAATTTTAAACTTATAAGCACTTTATACCACAAAACTAATTCATTTCTGCTGCTCCTTTGCATGCATTTAATTAGTTTATTTTGTACATCTAACTAAAAAGGTTGCAAAATGTGCAGTGTCAAATATTATTTACGAATTACATTCAATTTGCTTTCTGCCATATTAGACTTCTTTTGCATGTTTTAATAATAATAAGAAGAAGAATAACATTTTTATGGTTTCATTTGACATTTTTTGGTTTCATTTAGCATTGTTCATGAAGATTATAAAGTTTGGCGAGTTGCATCTCAGAATGTATTGCATAAAGTATCGGGTTGTCTTGACGCAATGTCTTAAAATGTATACAGTCCTGTTTCGGACTTTCCCAGAATTTGAAATTTTCCTGGCACATCACATCTGTGAAAACCCATGCCCAGCCCAATCCGAGGCTTAGGCTACATAATAGAGCAGGCTGGATGAAGACATGATGCGACCAGGCGCAGTGGTACCGCTTCCCAGGAGAAGCCTTTCAAGGTCACTTATTTTTCCTTTAACACTTCCATTTAACTCAAGTCAAATTTTAGGTATATTTGAACCATTTTCACCATGTCTCGTAGGTTCGAGGGACATGTGGCGAGCCTACCGGGATATGAAGGAGGCCAACTGGAAGAACTCAGACAAGTATTTCCATGCACGTGGGAACTATGATGCTGCACACAGGGGCCCGGGAGGCAGATGGGCAGCCAAAATCATCAGGCACGTATAAAATCATACTAACCGTGGCAGAAATCTATTCCTGATAAGCACTCAGATTGAGCAAGAATTGTGTCTCCCTCACTCTACAATGAAATGGATTTTAATATCATATTGTGTTAATGATGTGTGCAGTGATGCAAGAGAGTCTACTCCATTACGGGGTCTGAGTAACAGCGGCAAATCTGATTCTGCAGCCGACCAGGAGGCCAATCGCTGGGGCCGTAACGGTGGAGACCCCAACCGCTACAGGCCCAAAGGCCTTCCCAAGAAGTACTGAAAACAGAAAAGCTCTGAAATCATCAGTGCCTCCAGGACATTTTGTTGTTGCTCTAAAATTGCTTGATACAATTTTGCATGACAAATCTAAAACTAACACTCTCTTGATTATCATTAATTAAATCTGTATTCATGACTACAAAAATGTAATCTTGATTGTCACACTGATTTGAACATCATCTGTAACATGCATGTTATAGCATCTGATTAAAGAATGCAACTCATTCATGTATGTCTATTTTAATTGTTTTTTTTTTTTGCATTTAACAGTAGGCTAATGCATATTTTATAAAAACAAAGACCCCAGAAATGGTTGGCACGCACACACACTTGTTCCACCATAAAACAGGCAACAATTCTCATTCAGAAAGCATACTTTGTCAATTTTTTTGTCAAACACAAAAAGTTAAAGGGGAAAAAATAATTCCTGAAGCAATAATTACTAAAACAACAAAAACAAAACAGCAACATATAAGCCTATAAAAGCTTTACAAAATACGGTAACACTTTATTTCGATAGTCCACTTCAGACGTTCTGCTATAAGTCACTTTTCAACTACATGTCAACTAACTGTCATTAGAGTAGTAGACTGTCAGCTTAATATCTGCTAACACTTTATTTTTTTGGGCCCCCAACAGACATTCAACTGACTATAAGTAACTTGGCGACTACAAGTAAACTTATTCTCCTAAGCCAAAACCCAACTAACAGTCTACTGACAGTCTACTAATATACTAATACTCTAAGTTACTTGACGTGTAGTTGAAAAGTTTCTTATAATTAGGCTAGTAGAACGTCTAAAGTGACTATCAAAATAAAGTGTAACCCGAAATACATCAACAACATGTATAGTAAAATGATGTAGCCTATGTGCTGTATTGGAGTCCAAAATGTGCCAGTTTTTTGTTGTTGTGTAGAATTGTTCTCCTCGTGCTGACTTTCCTCTGGGTTTACCACACATTCCAAAGACATACAGGACAGGTGCAAGTTATTATTACATATAGGCCTAACCTAAGTTTGCCTGTAGGTGTGAGTGTGAATATGAATGTGTGTGTCTGACTCACACATCCAACACTCCACCCTGAACAGTTCGCATTTAATTAAATGACACCTTTAACCCTCTGGGCTCCTTCGTAAATGGGTTACACTTAGCTTCCTCCCGGTCAAAAACGGACATTTTTGACCGGGAGGAAGCTAAGTGTACCTTTTTTTTACGACCCTTTAACAAATCAGAATCATCTCCTTGATTTTTGTGTGTGTTCATATAGGTAATACAACAAAAGTCACCAAGTTTCAGCCCGATCCGATCAAGCAAAAAAATTAAAGATTTCAAAACGTAACAGTTTTCGGTCATTTTTGACCGAAGAAGCCCAGAGTCACAGCACAGTCACAGTCACAGCATGTGACTTAATGAGGAAACGTTTGTCGGCTGAAACAAACTTATGATCAATACATTGAGAAATACTTGCAACATTTACAATATTTATATAAATACAACCACAATAGTGTTTATTTAGTGAAAACATACTTTCACTAACGATTACTTTCAGCAACTTTACTGTTTAGTTAGTTTAAACATTCTGAATCACAGGTGTATTATTGATATTTGTCGTGCTAAGCATGTCGTGCATTGATGGACATGGACCCCTCCAGGGTGTTTTTATTGTCTACGACCCGAGACGCTGGGAAGTGAGAAAGACTCCAGCCTCCCCACGACCCAGTAGGATGGGTGGATGAACAACTAGTCTCGGAGGGTTCTAGTCCTCTCTCTTTCATGCAACTTTTCTTTCCCCACAAATGTGTCTATTCACGTCAGTGGTTGTTTATGTTGTAGCGCCTCCAGCTGGTCACTCAAGCACAATGTCTTTACACTACTTTTTCATAACTAACAGTACAATTTTGTTTTATTTTAAACCAGCCCTTCACGATTATTATAAAATAACTTAAATGTGTTCATTTGGTAACATATTCCCAAGTTTTAACACATTAATGATAAAAGTGTTTTAGTTATTTTTTTATATATATTCCCATCTTGCAATCATTCTGTGTTGTTTGATGCTCTTGTGTCTGATGTACCATTAAACTAAAACATTCAAACTTTCAATAAAAATAAAAGTCAAAATGAATTTGCCAATATATCTAAAAGTGAAATCATGTATGCACACACAATGGTTTGCTAGTATTGGCTACATCTGACTGCAAGCATCTGGAATTTCCATGTCTTGGGATGATTCAGTACTTACACTGCAAGAACAAGCTGATTTAATATTTGGGAGAGCAAACAGCAAAATTCCATTCAAAAGCAAAACTGAAATTACTTTCACAAACTGTGACCAACCATGGAATATTTTCATCTTTGTATTCCCATCCTGATGAATGGCACTAGCAACATCAATATCATGGGTGTGATTCCCAGGAATGCATGGCCTGATCATATACATAGCATAACTTGAATGCAATAGTTACTTTGGATAAAAGTGTCAGCCAAATGCATGAAAAAAAAGAAAAGAAAAGAAAGAAAGAAATATTAAGATAAGCTATCCAGTTAATGGTTTGGACTAGAATAGATAGCCAAGTAAATAATCATGACAACAGACTTCCCAGAAGTTGTGCAACACAGGAATCTGCCAAAACATTGAGATGGTCCTCACTGCGGAACATGAAATCCATGGGGAGGAGTCGGATCCAGATCCAACTCCTCCCACCTTACATACACCTAAACCTAACCAACTCCGCCCCCTGATCCCTAAACCCACCCCTAATCCCTAAACCCAACCCTAATCTTACCCATCTCCACCCCTTGGATCGTGATCCGACTCCTCCCCGTGGATCTTATGTTCTGCATTGAGGTGCTACTGAAAACATTTGACACAGAACAGCCGGGAAACTCCATGTCTAAGCACAAGCCCATTAGTAAATGACACCTTACTGCACAAAAAGAAAAGATTAGAAACTGCCTCAAACACAAGAGATGCCGTGCTTGAGAGGTTTTAGTTTACAATTTATGTGCAAAGATCCAACACATCTATATGGAATGTGAGGTTGATATTTTTTGCTGAGGGAAATATTTAACAGACTAAGGATTATACTTTTTTTTAAGTCTCAGGCTTGCAGTCATGAATCTATTTGTAATCAATATTTAGCATAATGTGTGCATTTAAAAAAAAAAAAAAAAAACTACTGATCTCATGCCTTCAACCAATGGGGTGAAATGACTGGAGGAAAAAGTTATTTGAGATCGGATCGCATCAGATTCAAAAGCAGTGAAAATGTAACTAGATAGTGTATTTGTGTGTAATAGTGAAGTACAGATTCTAATCACTCATCCTACTCCACATTATAAACATTGAAAAAGAACTTAACTTCTGAAATTAACAAGGAAGCAAAAATCATTTTGTAATAAACTTTTATTTTGGTCCCGAGGAGACAGATTAGTCAAAGAGTCCAAATCCCATGTCATCTTCGGATTCTTCAGACTCCTCTTTCTTCTCTTCTTTCTTCTTCTCCTCCGCTGCAGGAAAAAGAAAAGAGATAAAGACGTCAACATTACAGGAAATAAATTAAAGCAACCAACACTCCGTCCTGAATGGTTCACATTTATTTGACTATAAATTACACCTTTCAAACAGTCACAGCATGTTAGAGAGAGAGAGAGAGAGAGAGAGACAGAGGCCCAGGGTAAAATAAGGCACTGACCAGGGGCGGCAGCAGATGCTCCAGCGGATGGGGCGGCAGAGCTGGAAGCAGCAACAGCACCACCGGACGGCACGCTGGCCAGCTTACTGAAACCTGACAGATAGTGAAAAACACACACACGCATTGAGACGTGCTAAAACTAATCCTGTACCCCTGTTTCTTATCCAGGACACTGCATGGTTTCCATGTACTCTTTTGAATAATTTGTGATTACTGGATAAGGCTTTTTAGAAAAATATATACACTCAAAAAAACAATTCCTATGAAACTATTTTAAAGCTGGAATTTCTCTTAAATCATTAATATCCTCAAGGTCGACCAAAGTGCTGTAACAGAGAAACAAGACAAAAAGACTACATAATACCCCAAAGAAAACTACATTAAAAAGCCGATGAAAGTATTAAATGTTTCACAAAAAAATGAAAAATTCTCCATTTTGAGGAGAATTGGGTTGTAGCTCGTTATCTAGGTTACTGTGACTGTTGATAGGCATCGTTTGTGTTTTAACAACGTTTAAATGACGACCAGGCTTAATTTGGCTTTTACATAAGGGACAATCTATGGCAAGAAATGCATTAAATGATTTTAATGCACAACATGTAGGCAAAGAACCACCTGATGCGAAGAAGAGTGCATTTAAATGGTTTAACGCAGTTAGCCATGAATATTTCACTTACACAAATATTAATAAAAAAGGTTGCAGACCAGTGTTCCAGTGCTCCAATCAGTGTGCTTCAATGAAGTCAGCGAATTCATATAGTACATAGATTAAACTGGCTGGAAATGTCTATGCATTAAAGTCAAGTCACCTTCATTTCTATAACGCATTTGACAATATAGATTGTTTCGAATCAGCTTTACAGTGATAATAGGATATTAAAGTGACAGAGTTTTTGGCTTTACAGCAGCTCTAGAATAAAGTTATCCAGATAAAGTTAGTTTTGATTGAATCATGATTAGTTAAATTAACGAAAGAAAGAAAACTCTTAACGCACTCGGACCTGCTCATTGGCTCGAGCACGCAAACCTTGAAATAGCTTCAAATTGACCACAACAAACTACTTTTCTGGCCTTCGTTTTCATGTGTCAATGCGAACCAGAATTATATTAAATAATGCACACCTTCCAGTCAAACCATGGTATAATCACATAAACAAGGACCAACACAAACACAAGCTCAACCGTACTTAATGTGCGAGAACACTTACCACAAGTACGGTTGCGCTTCTGTTTGCGTTCGCTGGTCCATTTTTATTTTTCGATTATATCATGGTCTGTCTGAATACTCAACTCTGTTTGGCGTCAAGAGTTTTGGATGAATAGACATTAAAAAAAAGAAAACATCTTTGCGTTTCGAAGGTGAACAAAAAACTTAATATTTGACTATTTGATATTGAAATCATTTTTTTAAATAAACTAACCCTTTAACTAATTTTCTCAAGCTTAGAAATCCCTGATATTTTTCAGGTTTTCCATGACCATGGAAAACTTTAGCCTGGACTTAATTAAACATGAGTCCACTACATCTGTAACCACGATGCTACCAGTTTAAAACAACCAAACTTACCTTGGACAATCACTTCCTCGACATTTTTGCCATTGAGCTCGGACACAACCTACAATTACACAGAAGTCAATATTACAGAGAAGCTGGATGTATGTGGTCCTTTACAAACACAACATGTGATCCCATCTCAGTGTTTATGCTAAGTGTTATGAATAGATTTACCTTGCCCAAACGAGTATCATCGGCTTCAATGCCGACGCTCTCCAGGATCTTCTTGATGTCACCTGTGCTGGGACTCTCTTTGCCTCCAAGGGCAGCGAGCAGGTAAGCAGCTACGTAACGCATCCTAAGTCAAATAAAGTTCAACAAATCAATGCATTAACAAGTAGGAAACATTAACAGTTTTCACCAGTAATGTTGAAATGGCAGTAATAGTGGTCGAAAATGGTCAAAAATATTTGACAGCTGAATACCCCAATAATAATTTTTACATTTAACAAATGTAATTATATCAGAAAAATCTTCTGAATATAAATTAGTTATTTTACATAATAGTTATTCAAATCTTACGTTGAAATAAAATGTGCACAAAAACCTTAACAATATTGGTGATATTATCCTACTAAAGAATTGCACGTTAAAATAATAAAAGGATATATTTAGTGCTTAGTGTAACTTACTTGAAATGAAATAATGGCTCAAACGCCATCTTTTACTACATTATTACATTTCTATTACTACATTTTGACATTTCTTTTACTACTCTTTTGCCACATGGCTGGGTGAATTAACCGTGCTGCTAACGATAGCGTAGTATTAATAGATCAATCTGAGCTTCAGTATTACTTAAGTCTCGCAAATTAAGGACTGAGGGTCTTCATTTATTTAAATACGTTCTTTATTCGCTCGTTTGACCTTTATGTTTCTTTGTAAAATCTGTGTTTTTATTCACTCACTTTGCGGAGAGAGGAAGACTCGCGTGTTCACAAGCGGGCTCTAGCAGGCAGAAAGGAAGCGGAAAGGGTGGCGAAAACCGGAAAAACGACACGACCGATGACGTCAGCTGTGAGGAGCGAATCGAAAGGACGAAAAGCACGTCAATCACGAGGTTGAGGGCGGGGTCTCTTCTCATTTCCCACATCAATATTTCCCATTTAAATATATTACGGCTATTAAAACCGTGTTGCAATAAAATTGTCTGGTTTTTTTTGTGCTCCATCACTGAACTATAATAGTTCAGTCACTGTGCTCAGTAGATGTGACAGGAAAATTTGACAGAAATTGCTGTTTTATATCATTGTTTACATTTGAAATAAATCATTTACAAAATGTATGGAACTTTTATAACTTTCAGAGAAATGGCAAAAAGCACAGACTAATGATTGCATGTCCTCTGGTCATTGTTTGTGGAGTTAGAGTGTGAGAAGAAAGTTAGGCTATCATGTTGTTTTCCTTCTAAAAAAATCTACTGGACATGTCTAATCTGGATAAATTCCAATATATTTCGTTATTATATAAATTAAATTCTCAAAAGCTAAAATGTACCACAATCGTCTAAACATGCCAGCAGAGGTCATTGTTTTTCATCATCCTACTCGTCGTAAGTGTAGGCCTATAGCCTAACTGAGTCATAAAATAACTTAATAATTATACTTATTTTACATAGGACTATAATAGTTAAAATGTCAAAATGTTTTCTCTGGGAAATTATTATTATTATTTGTTTTACCTTTATGAGAATAATATTTTCGAACTTTATAAAAACAGTAGGTAGGCTAAATAATGCTCAAGGAATAGGCTACCATTTAAATAAATGGTCTGAATCTTAGATTACACAGCTGTCTGTAATTGTGTTTATCACGCACACATCTAGAATATCAATAGGCTACCTTCATATGCAACAGAGCAGTTAATGCATTCTGCCTAAAATCTCATTATTTTGTTTTCCAGAAGAAAGAAAATCATACAGGCTTGGAAAGACATGAGGGTGAATAATTAATAACAGAATTTCATTTTATTTGAACTACTGTTTTAATTGCTCATGCAAGTCCGTTAACCACAAAAAGGTTTCTGATAGATAGAAAGAGTGACTGTCTGATTTAGCACTGATATCAATGTAAGGTGTGTATTTGTGAAAATGAAATAATAATATTATTTAACCTAGATGACTTTATTTCTTTGAAAGGCAAAATGATCTTCGACAGGATGACCTGACCTCTTTTCAAATATGAGAATATGAGCCAACCTTGAACAAATGAAAGAAAAATCGTTTTAGAATATTTGTTCTATTTTAGCAGAAACAAGTTTTTGCACGGATGATACACCAGTAGGTGTATGGAGCAAGGAGTGTGTCTTTATTACTTTACTTACCAAATAATCCACAGTGAAATGCACCGAATACTATGAGGCGCCACGTAGGATTTAAATCAAACTTTGCATATCAATACATAACACACGTGCACACCTATAAATTACTCACATATACATGATGTATACTATTGGATGTTCAAAATACATATATGAAATACACGTGAACACTAATATGAAATCCAAACCAATACATTATTTTAGTAATGAATGCATATAGTGTTCAGGGGCAAGGGTATGTAGACAGGGCAAAAATATTATATGTGGATACCAGCACATGTGGGCATATAGGGAAATGAGAAAGTTGATAGATTGGCAAAAATGCATCAAAAAAGAGCTTTTGACATAGAAATTAAATTGTCAAAATCAGAAGGTAAGAATCTAGTGTGGAAAAAGGTAATGGAAATATGGCAATATCAATGGGATCAGGAAAAGGAAGACATACAGTATTCAAAATAAAGTAGGTATTGTAAGAGAGAAGTCAAATAGAAGGAAAGAGCAAGTTATGATAACAAGACTTAGAATTGAACATAGTAAGTTAAATGGAACTCTTTGTATTTTAGGAAAACATCCCACAGGACTATGTGATGAATGTCAAGAGGAGGAAACAGTCAGCCACATTTTTATGTCATGGAGGAAATTTAACCAAGAAAGGCAAGAGTTTGAATTTGGTGAAATTGAAAATTGGTGTAGGACAAAATAATGTTAAAAATATTTTAGAATATGGGAAGCATGATCAAGGAAAGAAATATTTATTTTATTTTGTAAAGAGGACTGGACTGGAAGGACGAATATGAGTATGAAATGACAAGATAATAACCAGTAGATGGCAGTAATGCAACTTTTTGGATGCCAATTGCCGTAAAACACCACGACGCGTCATCAATCCGGAAGTCGGCCATTTTGGAGGCACAGAACATAAACAATGCCATTGAACTGAACGGGCTCGGATATTTGGCTGATTATTTCTGCTGAAAAAATGGTCGATTTTTGGTCTGTACTAATCGATTGCATCGGAAATTTTTTTTCGAGTTCTACAGACTGTTAAAAGTTAAAGAGAAGAGTGCAAAAAATGGATGAAAGAAGGCGTTTGTGGTGAGAGAGAGGCACAGCATCAGCTACATGTGTAAATGAAGCTTTGACTATAGCTAAAATGTTAACAACCAACAACCAATGACAACCAAACCACATCTGGGTGCAGCTTGAAACGGATTTCATGTGCTTTTCTGGGCTGACAATCTGCCTATGTCGGGATAAGAAATAGAAGGAAGAATTGCATTACGGGCTAGAGAAGCTAGCTCGTTCGGACCTTTACAACATATTAACTTTAGTTTGTCAAAATATTGCGCTCTCTCCTGCTTGGTAAGTCCTTCTCTATATGACTTCCCACCCATTTACCACTGTTTTTTCTGTGTTTTTTTTTAAGTGTAACAATGTGTTCAGAACATAAACAGTGCAATCCATGCTGTTGTTTACATCCGAGTGCCTCCATAATGGCCGCTCATCCGGGTTACCGCCCAGAATGTGACGTCGGTGAAAACCCTCATTTGTCGATTTTTATTTCCTCGACGTCACGCTTGTGGGGCACACTACTGTGTTTTTGCTCGACTGTGCTTTGTGTTTGTTTGGGATTATTTTATTTGACAGATAAAAAAAAACAGAATGTTTTGTGTCTAAAATGTAAGTCGGTAACTGTTACAAGTCTTATGTATTCAATTGTTGCATAAAAGCATTATCACACTTGACTTTGATACTCTACTACTCGGTAGGGCATTGTGATGTTTATCCGAATGTTGCTGATGTTTTAGTGGGATGTAAGAGATATGAGACTAGAGGAAAACTGACTTCATACATCCACAAAAACAACGGAGAAAAGTGACAAGTTCTGATAAAAACTCCTGCAGCATTTGCTTGTAGATATTTTATCCAAATACCATAGGGCCAGATGTATTGAATCAGACTGCAGACACAAATAATAAGAAATTGAAATGCTTCAATGCTTCTTGTAAAAAGAAAAGCAGAGAGAACCTTGAAGGCTAATGTCTGTGGCACCCTTTTAGGCTTTCACCTTCTCATCTTCCCTCCCAGGTCTTTTCACTCTCTGTCTTCTTTGAACACCCTTATTTACTTTCTCTCTTTCCTGCCTTGTACACTAGCAGCCTGTGTTCCTGTAAGTCTTATCAATGGCTGGTTTTAGGTTTCTGAACATAATCTCTCAATGGGATGCATTGTGGAGACTGCCTGTGGATTCAGGATAAATGTGAGTACGCTGGCTTTGCCAGAGTTTTATTTGTCACATCATTCAACAGGCTTGTTTTAGCCGTAATGCACAGAATAAAAACCTCAAAGCCCAGAGTTGCTCGTTCATAGCTCAGGAGACTTAATGGAGTTCTCAGTTGGGTTCCCAGTAAGTATCAACTTGGTCTCGGATGTTTCTCCTATATTTATTTAGGATTAATAAGAATAAATACTCAGATGTTTGTGGAGCTGTAAATTAATATATGACTGGGAATAGCATCTCAGATCAGTTGGTTTTTAAGGAATTAGAGTAGAAATTATGTATAATTAGGCTATATATTAAGATCATTGACATATGATTCCAGTCTCTCGGCAAATCTTAGCACTTGTGAGATTCATAGGGTCTTTTTTTAAAAGGAAAAGGCTGGTTTCCTTGCGATCTCCATTTAATTTCCTGTCTGATGAAAAAGTGTTATCTTTTGTGGTTTTTCTTTTCTTTGTATTGGTTTAAAACTATTTTGATATACACCAAGTGCCTCTAAAAAAGCTGCCTTTTGATAAGTTTTCGATTTGTACTTTTGAAAGTGTCATTTTAAAAGCCACAAATCCTCAGTTGTCAATCATATCTTATAAATGAAATGCTGTCCGCATTTCGTGAACCGTGTTGCTGCTGCCGTTTTTCTGTTTGCTTGTAAACTGGAGACATTTTTAGGAGAGGAAATCGAAAACTTATGCACAAAATGTATTGAACCTGCATTTGGTAACCCAAGTTATGATATGGTTTAGATGGTAGTGAACTCATTCTGGTTTATCTTAATTGGCACTTTTTTCATGATTCTTTGAAGCAATAAAATCACAAATCACATGGTCTTTAGAGAGTGAGTGAGGTGAGTTAAATTAAAATATTAAAGTTTTAGTTAATTCCTCTAACTAACTCAACAAGACAATGGTTCTCCTAATGCAAAGATCTTGGCTTTGATTCCCATTAATATACATTGTTTAAATGTATTGCTTGAATTTGAATGCATGTTTCAGTCTCTTTGAATATAAGCATCTGCCAACAGATTTATAACATGTAATTGGGTTTATGACTAAACACAAGCCAGTATTCGATCCGTACTGAGTGCCAAAGTTTAATATTAAAATAATATGTTATTTATAGCAGAATATTTTATGTTATTGGAACTGTTAATAAGATTTGTTATTTGTTATATAAAATAAAGCAATGACACAAATCATGGTTTTAAACATTCAGACTTGTTATAGATTCACTTGTATTATTTTAGTTTAGTTTTAGGATTCTGTTCAATTTCATTGTATTTTGGTTTCGTCCCTGTTCCTGTTTTCCCTGCTTTCCCGCCTTCCCGGTCATTATTAATTTCCATAATTCCTCCTTAGTTACACTTCTGTTTCAGTTCCAGTTCTGTTCCACTCTGTGTTTTTAAGCCCCTGGTTTTTCTCAGTCGATTGCCTGCATTGTTCCTAGTGTTCATTAAAAGTTTTGTGAATCTTCTTCCTGCCTCACACATCCTCTCAGTAGATATTGCTATACACTAAGGTGAAAAAAAACAACATTTCCTGAAGGTTCTGAAGGTTTTCGTTTCATATTTCAGACTTTATAGAATAAGACAACAAATTTGACTTTATTTTTTCTCAAGTTTCCACTAGGTGTATTTTTCATGCTGTTTCTGGAGAGTATACCAATAATTCATGTGGATTTTAGATTCATAACTCAGATTCATCTCTCTCTCTCTCTCTCTCTCTCTCTCTCTCTCTCTCTCTCTCTCTCTCTCTCTCTCTCTCTCACACACACACACACACACACACACACACACACACACACACACACACACACACACACACACACACACAGACACACAGACAAACAGAGGTATTATTGTATTATTCATAAAAAGCACAAAGCTTAAGGTTGGGTCAGGCAGGTATCAATGAGCAGAAAGTATAAAGTACACACACACCTCTGCTTTTATCAAGCTTTCACACATCACACCACCTCTAGAGGGCATCTGAATACAGAATAGAGAGTTGAGCATGTCCTGTCATTGTTTCTGATATTATTATTTTGATTGTTACTGTGTTGGGTTTACACTAATGGATACTACAGGCCAGAGTGAACGTGAGCGGCTTTGATGGCATCTGTGCTGCTGTCACAGTGCGTCTTTGAACCTGCATCCTGCCGCTCTAAATTCTCTATTCCCTGACTTTGTTGCACATGGTTTTGAAGTCCAGAAAACATTGTGATGTTTATTAAGCAGTTGCCATGGCCACAGAAACTCACTCCATATCCTTGAGCATTTTATAGCTTCATGCAGCACTAGAAAATAAAAACAAATAAATAAATAATTCCCAGTATTTTTGTCCTGTAAAAATATCTGTAAACATCATGAACAACATCATGTGTTTTAATATATATTTTTAAGGTATTATTTTATACCTTATAACTTAAGAACAAAATTATAAGGTAAAACAAAAAAATCAAACTAAAGCTACAGGTTGACTCTGCAAAGAAAAACTCGCGCTCACAGGAAAAAGCATAGATTGACTACAATATAATCTGATATTAATATTTTGTAGTTTCTCTCTTGTTTTTGCATGTGTTCATATATTTTTGTCCAGGCTGTCTTACAAACGAATATGTCCGCTTAATTAGGCATGTTTCATTGCATTATTATCACAAATATAACATTTGACTCAAAGCACAACCATGCAATATGCTTACAAACACGTAAACAAATTTGAATTATGGGTGAGGTCACTGGACATCACTTTTAGCCACTACTGTAAATGGATAAAATCTTAAAATACAGATTAACAGTATACAGAGAAAACTTAGTAAACACTAGTAACACACGAGATGACGCATGTGCATGATTGGTTTAATAATAATGGTCATTGTGATGTTTCTAGGAACTCTTAAGAGAGAGTCTGTAAAGCAGCCTGAAGTCCGGCTCATCTCCATCTTCTCTCCGGTCGTGTCGAACATCCCTGCAGCTGAGTACATACTGAATAACCTGAATAGAAATGTGCTAGAATTCAATACCAGCCACTCCTGATTCAGTTTCCATCAAGTTTTTGACACTCAAAATATGTACAAATGTAATTCCATAACATCTGCTCTGTGACATTGATCACTTTCTCTTCATTTTAAATGGCTGAAAAACAAATAAGGTGAGTTTTATTTATAGAGAAATGGCCAGTACTCACTGTAGAGTACAAATAGTTGGCAACCAGAACTACACAAGTGACCTGTGAACACAATAAGGTGAACTCTTTTTAGATGGCATAGTTTCTATTGTACACTTGTGTAATGTTGTTTCAGCTTGCCTGCTAAACTCATCAATGGAGGCATTGCTGGATTGATTGGTGTCACTTGCGTGTTTCCGATTGATCTGGCAAAAACACGCCTCCAAAACCAGCAAAACGGATCTCGCATCTACACTAGCATGTATGTTTTATGTTCCTTTTATCGTCTGAGCAAACAAATGCCTATACTGAATAGGTGTTTCATTCACAGGTCTGATTGTCTGATAAAAACCATCCGATCAGAAGGATTCTGTGGGATGTACAGAGGTGATCAAGTCATACTTTTTAACAATGTATAATTTGGTTTACATCATTTGGAAGTGTTCATGCTGTGGAAAACTTTCCTTCTCAATTTTATTTCTAGGAGCTGCGGTTAATCTGACTTTGGTAACTCCAGAAAAGGCCATTAAACTGGCTGCCAATGATTTCTTCAGACACCAGCTCTCTAAAGATGGGTGAGAATAAAAACACTTTTTTACATTTGGGGGGAAAACAACAAACAGAACTTCATTTCTAATTAAATTAGAATTCTGCAATTTAAGAAACTGAGATACATTCAGGAATTTGCAGCTGCATTTAATTTAAATGCATTCAGAGTTCTATTTCTATTTTTTTTTAATTATTAATCATATTTATGTAATTATAGTACTATATTTGGAATATATATATATTTTTAGCTGTTTTACTTTTTGACCCTGTCCATTTCTAAAGGGTAGATAAATAATAAATAAATAAATATTGGGTTGAGATCTGGTGACTGCGGGGGCCATTTTAGTAGAAAACCAATTTGAAATGATTCGAGCTTTGTGACATGGTGCATTATCCTGCTGGAAGTAACCATCAGAGGATGGGTACATGGTGGCCATAAAGGGATGGACATGGTCAGAAACAATGCTCAGGTTGGCCATGGCATTTAAACGATGCCCAATTGGCACTAAGGGGCCTAAAGTGTGCCAAGAAAACATCCCCCACACCATTAAACCACCACCACCAGCCTGCACAGTGGTAACAAGGCATGATGGATCCATGTTCTCATTCTGTTTACGCCAAATTCTGACTTTACAATCTGAATGTCTCAACAGAAATCGAGACTCATCAGACCAGGCAACATTTTTCCAGTCTTCAACTAATACTATCTAAAATAAAACGGCCATCTTCCACAACATATCTAGGTTTTTATAGGACTTTTTTCTGCTAAGTTTAATCAGAAATGACAAAGAATTCATCAAAGAATGAAAATAGCGAAAATATCAATACAAAATACATTGTTTGGCCAATAGAAATTGTAATTATAAAATGCATGTGACAACTTGAAACAACCTGACATTTATGAAATTACCCTTTTGTACAATCAAAGTTCAACCTTTCAGACTAGACCTTCATAGTTCTAGTGATTCGTATTCATTTAAAATAATTAATTTGCTCATTTGCATGACTCATTTACTGGGAATGTGCTCAGTAGTGGGACGTAATGGAAGTCTCATAACTTATTTAACAGTTGCACTGATTTAGAAAGAGGAATGCTCATTTTTTTAATTTATTCTTTTTTTTTTTGCTGTGGGCATAATGTAGGCTGGGTGAAGTCTTATTTTTTAAGGGAATGAATCCACTGCACCGCTGGATTTGCAGAATTTGAAAAAAAAAACAGAGCTGAGCTGATCTGATAAAAGGCTTCTATATGCTTCTGCATTATAGATAGAAATAGCGGTACAACTCACATCTTGAATACCTGGAGCTGGGTGAGCATCTCTGTGGTGACTAATAGCTAGACTGCTAAATTATTTATTAATACAGTTCAGACTGCAATGAACAGATAAATTATTCAAATAAGTGTGTGTGAGTGATTGTTTGGGTGTGTGATGTCATCACACAAGGTAAGGGTCTGAGCCCAGAGCTTCTTGTTTACAGAGGAAAGGGGCTTATCGTCATCTTAAAATAATGCTCCTTCCTTCTCTCTCCCTCTTTATCTTTTTGTTTTTCTGGCTCTCTCTCCCAGACAGAAGTTGACATTGGTTGGAGAAATGTTGGCTGGCTGCGGGGCGGGTACCTGCCAAGTTAGTCACTCTCTCTGCTGCACTCATACGACCCACATTTCTCACAGAAAGAAAGAAAGAGAGATGTGAAGTTACACTTAAAATGAATTATATTAAACCCTAAACATTCCTTCAATCTTTTATCTAACTTCTGTCTCTATGCGGTCTGTGTTTTGACAGGTGATTGTAACCACTCCAATGGAGATGTTAAAGATCCAGTTGCAGGATGCCGGCAGAATAGGTAAAGATATACAACTTTCTGCCATCGTTGATACGTCTCTTGTCCACTGATAGTGTCTTTTACATGAAGGTTTTTACGTGTACATGCCATTTCTGCAACATGTGTAATGTGTGCAACATTCGAAATGCACAGGTTACTACATTTGGCAAAATGTGGCGTGCACAACAGAGCGATAATGTTGCATCCCACAAACCAATTCACTTAAAATGACCTTGACCACAATATCAACTGTAGATTATAACAGGACACCACTTGCCGAATTAAACATGAAATGTGTCAGCATTGTAGCATAGAACAACATAAAAACCTTGCTACATACACTTTTTATTATATTATTTATATATGCTATTTATTTGATCAAAAACACAGTAAAACATATGATATAATATGAAAATTTTGTAAATCACTGTTTTTTTTATATTTTAATATCATGTGATGTCAAAGCTGAATTTTCAGCATTACTCCAGTCTTCAGTGTCGCATGATTCTTCAGAAATCATTCTAATATGCTGATTTGCTGCTCAAGAAACATTTCTTATTATTAATGTTGAAAGCGATAGAGCTGCATGATTTTATGGGAACCGTCATGCATTTTTTTTCAGGAATATTTGAAAAATAGAACGTTGAAATGAACAGCATTTATTTCAAAAAAGATATCTTTTGTAGTATTATAGATGTTTCTTTAATGTCACTTGATGTCGATTTAATGTCGATTTGATGCTAAATAAATAGATAAAAAGTATCAATACCTTGAAAAAATCTTACTGACCAAACTTTTGAACAGTAGTGTATAATTTGTGTGATTAATATGCAATTCTGAATATAGCCAATGTGTCTAACAGAGGCCCAGAGGAATCTAATTGGCCGGGATGGAGGAGGAGGGGCTAAAGCGAATGTTGTTCAGCGGAAGTCTCCCACAGCTCTCCAACTCTCTAGAGATCTGCTGAAGGACAAGGGCATCACTGGTCTCTATACGGGACTGGGGGCCACTCTATTACGGTAGTCTGACAGGGTCGCTCAAACTGTGGGACGCTTTTAGTCATAATGTGCTCTCTCTCCATCCTTTGTCTCACAGTGACGAACTCTCTCTCTTTCTCTCCCTCAGGGATGTGCCCTTTTCCATCATCTACTTCCCACTGTTTGCTAACCTGAACAGCCTAGGCAGGAGGAACACTGACAGTTCAGCTCCATTTTACATCTCCTTCCTCTCTGGCTGTCTTGCAGGGTGTACTGCAGCTGTTGCGGTCAATCCTGTGGATGGTGAGATGATCTATCTATCTATCTATCTATCTATCTATCTATCTATCTATCTATCTATCTATCTATCTATCTATCTATCTATCTATCTATCTATCTATCTATCTATCTATCTATCTATCTATCTATCTATCTATCTATCTATCTATCTATCTATCTATCTATCTATCTATCTATCTATCTAATTTAAAATGTATCAAATTTAAAATGTATCAAATTTAGGTTTGTCAGCCAATATATTATATTGAACAATTGTATTTGATATTAAATCCACAAGGGGCACATTTTACCCCGGTATTTATCCCGGTCTTAGACCCAAACAGTTCAAAAGTAATCTTAGAATGAAAAACAAATCAGAAAAGATTGGTATGTGTGTAATAATGTGTGACACTATTATGACAAAACCATTAATTTTAAAACAAACAAACAATTAAGTCATATGTCAGTAAGCCAATATCAAAGTGATTGCGTCTCAGATTTCATTTCAGCACTTAATTCAGTCAGGCAGTGACTATTTTTTAAAAGCCTTAGTATCTCATATAGCAAATATAGTATTAAAAAGTTTCCCTTTCCCCCCTAAAAACCCTAATAATGTCAGCAAACATTACATCATGTCATAAATATCTTGCAATACCAGTATAGCTATGTTTACATTATTAAAGCTACACTGTGTGATTTTTACCCCCATCTAGCGGTGAAAAGGTATATGACCATCCAGTGAATAGTTTCTGTTCCTCTCAATTCCGATTTCGTTTTAACTCCTACGGTGGCCAATGTAGTCCAAGATTAACATGGCTTCCAGTTCGACCTCGTCCGTGAGTGTTAACTCAAACGTAAACGCGAAAGGCAAAGCTTGAATTAACGGGTATGTCCCTGTTTGGCTAATGTACTTTCAAGATGGAGGGGCAACATGGCGACCGACATTAGAACCTCTTATCCATATGTGTTTTCAATGGCATATTATACACTCACGAGAATACTTTATTACTTGAACGAAGTAAATGTACATTAATGAGCACGTATATTTTTGAAAGAACTAAGTGTTTTTAGCTAAGAATAAACTAAAAGAGTTACACAGTGTAGCTTTAATATTAACTGGCTTTTTATTAATGCATTACAGTGAGTGACAGCCGTCTATGGTCTCACAGTGGCTTACCTCATTTTAGTTTAGTGTTAAGTGATTAATTTACACCAAAACAAAAGATAACGCATGCCTTCATTTCAGAAAACATTGTTTTTGTCTTACATTTTTAAAATGAACCCAGAGAAGCACAGTGCAGAGTTGTTGTTTTTTTTGTCCGTTTATTTTCGTGAATTGGAATGTGTGCAAAGGATTGTGGGTGATTGAAGGACGTGAAGAAGACACTCTAAGCATCCTTCAAAACGAGCTGAATGAAGGACGTGAAAGGAAGGTTGCCTTCCATTGATCCTTTAAATTGAGACAGCCTTCAGCGGCGCTTTATGGTGGGGCAGCCTTCCGTTTCAGAAGCACCCTATATGTCACACACACAAATTGGCATTGAGCTTTTGACATGTGCACACTACACAAATATACAGTTTCCCATTGTTGGCACATACTAACAATCCTCAAATCATTTTTTTTCTATTTTATTGATCTATTTTTACACAAATTGGCATTGAGCTTTTGACATGTGCACACTACACAAATATACAGTTTCCCATTGTTTGCACATACTAACAATCCTCAAATCATTTTTTTTCTATTTTATTGATCTATTTTAATTATTATTGATCTATTACCTAATTAGGAGATGATGAGCACAAAAAGCATTTTGCCCTGCTGCTTATATTAATTAAGCAGTAAAAATGCCCCTTCCCGCACCACAAACAAGGCGTCTTATGGATGAAAGTCCTAAGGACAGTAACACTTTAGAATAATGGTCCGTCATTAATAAGTAACTATGCAGGAAGTAATGTGGGACTAATGAGTAGTACATTAACACTTCAGCTATGTATTAGCTAATATAAAAACAAGCTTAACTAATCAGTAAGTAATATTAAAGTTAGGAGATCCTTATTAGTTAACTAATAATTACTGAATGAGATTTGCCTCATTAATAACTATTAACTAACTGACAAATTATAAAGAACATTATGTGTGTCTGAGATGTAATAAGTAATGATTTTTACTCTGAATATAGTCATAAAAATGCATCACTAATTACTCAAGTGTTACCTAGTCACTATCCAGGAACTACTAGTGATCTGGATACATCTTTTTTACTAAAATAAAGGTCCAAAACACTAGTAGACCTTGAAGAGTGGCATTTTTTTGACCATGTTCTGAGTAAAAAAAAAAAGGACAATCTTCAAGTAGTTCTTCTAATTATTAATTACCTAATATGGGACTATCTCCTACATTTGATATTACTTACTGATTAGTTGCTTGTTTCTATATTAGTTAGAAGCAGCTGAAGTGATAGTGTACTACTCATTAGTCCTGCATTACTTCCTGCGTAGTTACTTATTAATGACAGACCATTATTCTAAAGTGTTACCGGAAGGACTGATGGGAAAACTTTGTTCCGCAACACTTCACATGTGATGAGTAGAAGGAGAATATTAGATTAACACATCATTTACACGCTAAACAATGTTGGGTTGTTTGAACCCAAATTTGGGTAAAATATGGACAAACCCAAATGTTGGGTTTAAAAATGTAATTAAAAACTTTCATACATTTTTTAATTACAATTTTAACCCAACATTTGGGTTTGTCCATATTTGACCCAAATTTTGTTTGAAACAACCCAGCATTTTTTTTTTAGAGTGTATTACACTATATTCAACAACAACACGTCATTCGTCCCTATGCCATTTCTACATCATTGCACATGCGCAGAATGTTTCAGTTTGGGTTTTCAATCAGATCAAGTGTTTACATGTCCAATCAAATGTAATAAAAAATGTTTAAACCACCCCTTCGCAATTGGAATGAAATTTCAATCGTATTTGGCCAATTTATTACGATAGACGTGGTTACATGTGACCCCTATGGGTCATTTAAAAATTTTTAGTAGTATTTATTACAATCAGATTATTAGGATCATTAAAAGCAGCTAGTCTCTTGTGTGAATGCAAACTAATCATTTGTATGCATGTGTGTTTGTGCTGCAGTGCTAAAAACCAGGCTTCAGTCTTTGGCCCGTGGATGTCATGATGAGACTTACAGCGGAATGAAAGACTGTATCCGGTAACATACAAGTTTAGTTTCCTCCATCACACAAAAAGTCTTCCATCTTTTTTTTAACTCTCTGAACATCTCTTAATCTTCCCCTACAGTAAGATTCTCCGTCACGAGGGTCCCTCAGCGTTCCTGAAGGGGGCGTACTGTCGCGCACTGGTCATCGCTCCGCTGTTTGGCATCGTACAGGTGGTTTATTTCCTAGGAGTCGGGGAATTTGTTCTCGGTCTCCTGCATGGACAAAAACACTGAATGTTTACAGTGGATGGAGCCGCTACTTGTATTCAAACCATAGCAATAATAATGATAAATTGATCAATTATAAATAATGAATTATAAACGATACATACTGAAATTTTTGTATTCATTTTAATAGAAATTAGTATGCTAGAAACACATTGATTTAAATGTAATGTTTTGTAATAATAGTAGAAAGACGGAAATGGTATTTTCCTGTAAAATGTACTCCAGTAATTTTTGTTTTATTTACAACTTTTAAAAAACAAAAAAAACAAAAAAAAACAACAGCATTTTTTGACAGTGTAGGTTTGACATCAGCATTGAAAACCAGGTTCAATAATCAGTCTATCAGTACAGATTGACAATAGCTCTGCTCCAAAAGATAGTGAGCTGCCTGTCTAGATAGTATTTTAGCCTAGTAGTCACTTTTTATTGACTTTTTTTTAGTAATCATCATAACTTTTAACTTAAAAGTTTGAACTTATAATTTAAAACCTCCAAAATTCATCATGTGATTTAATTTTTGAGCAATTTTCTAGTCAAAATTATTTTGTGAAATATACATTGTGTAAGATAAAAATGTTTAGTTCAGTACATTTGCTTACAGTAAACTCTTTTTAAATGTAATTTTTTTTTTCACTTCTGTAAAAATCTGTCGAGTGTCTTTAAAAAGAGATTCGAGGTCTGTATTCCAAGGCATTCATTAATTACAACCATTTAATTCAAAACTCCTGATATTTTTAAATAGTATTACTTTTATTCAACAGGGATGCATTAAACTGATCAAAGGTAACAGTAAATACATTATTTATGCTCCAAAAAATATATATATTTCAAATCAATGCTGTTCTTTTGAACTTTCTATTCATGGAAGAATCCTGAAAAAAATGTTTTCACAAAAACATGAAGCAACTGTTTTCAACATTGATTATAACTGTGCCTTGAGCATCAAATCATATTAGAATTATTTCTGAAGGATCACGTGACACTGAAGACTGAGTAATGATGCTGAAAATTCAGCTTTGACATGACCGGAATCATTCATCAAATCAAAATGTATTAAAATTGTAATAATATTACTGTTTTTCTGCATTTTTGACCAAATAAATGCAGCATTAGTGAGACTTCTTTCAAAAACATTCAAATTACAGACCGCCATTTTAATAATATACTTCTTCATCCACAGAATATTTTCCATTTACCTTCTGATTATTGCAGATTTTTATGTTGAAAAATGAGTAATTTATGGACAACTCAAACATTTTAATTCAACAAGAGAGAATGATTCTCTGTAGTATGAAATCTGTAATTACAAAGCATTTTACTTTTAAGCTTGTTTTTATGATTAAGATCAAGCACAGCGGTTTCCTTCGTGGAGCGTTTTATCGAATTGTGTTTACCTTGGTCTTATCAGAATCAAAAGAGACAAACAGCTTTCTTTGAGCTTGTTTCTGTGCATAAAGGTTGGTTGAGTGCCACACACACACACACACACCTAAAACAGATTATCTTCAAAACAGATTTTAATTGCACTCTATATGAAATTGCTGCTTAGGGTTAGAGGTTAAGAATAGACCCTGAGCATAATATTGGAGCAATATTAATACAGTTCAGCCTTGCAAGCACTGCACAATGAGAGAACACAATGAGGGGATTGTGGGAAGACATTCTGTTAACCACTCAAGCAAATCAAGGTGGCAGGAGAAATGCATTGATTGCTAGGTATGTGATTGTATCTGCAGGGGCTTTAGATCCCATTTAGTATTCGGAGCACAGAGCCTTTTCCCATGGCTTTTAATAGCTTTCACGCCATACTGTCCAAAGGGACATTTTGAACTATACACCGGTCGCTATTTTCATCTGTGCGCTGTAGTGGCCGTCTCTCTATTTCATTCTAATCTCTGCCATCTCCTCTCTGCTCTAATCATAGCTCTCTGGCCTCATCTCGGGAAAAATTTTCTATCTCCCTGGAGGCCGCTGTGATTGATTTTTGTGTGTTTTGTGCGCCGGAAGTATATTTCGTCTCAATAGTATACGACAGAAGTGGCGGAATCGCAAACATATTCTGGGAGATCCGTTTCATCTTGATATCATAGACTTGAAATGGCCGTGCTTGAGGCGCTGATTGCGAACTCGCAGGAAGGACATGCGATGCATGGACAGCTCTAATAACTATGTTCGTGTCTTTGTCTGTGCCTTGGGGAATATCTGTCTGCCGTCTACATTGTCCTCTGATTTCTGCTCGTAATGAAGCCAGACCTTTTTATGTGCAGCCAGTGAAGTCACTTTGTAACTGAGATGCAATAGAGACGAAGGGAACAGTGGGAGTAAATCTTCACAAAGGGGCTTCAGAAACGCATTTCTTTACTTGAGTGCCACAATTTTTAGAATGGTGTTGCAAAAGATGTTGAAGACGAGCACAATGGTCAAAAAGCGCGGCCACATTTCAATTGGAAACGACCCGTTCGGGAATTTGACCCAAATTTTACATTGGGTTCAGTTGGTAATGTCAATTTGACCAATAGAAAGCAGCTTGTTTAGAAAGTGACTTCTGTTTGAGTTGTGCTTCATACATCGTCACGTCTTTGACAAGGGAAAAAGAAATGTGATTGCATCTTAAATATATATATTTAAAGGGTTAGTCACCCAAAAATGAAAATTCTATCAGTAATGACTCACCCTCATGTTGTTCCAACCTCTTAAGGCTTTCGTTCATCTTCGGAACACACACTCTAAAACAATGCTGGGTTGTTTGAACCCAAATTTGGGTAAAATATGGACAAACCCAAATGTTGGGTTAAAAATGTAATTTCAAATTTTAACCCAACTTCAACTTTCACTTTCAACTGTGCAATTTTTTTAATTGCATTTTTAACCCAACATTTGGGTTTGTCCATATTTGACCCAAATTTGGGTTGAAACAACCCAGCATTTTTTAACCCTCTGGGCTTCTTCGTAAATGGGTTACACTTAGCTTCCTCCCGGTCAAAAACGGACGAAGCCTTAAAATTTTACGCTACTTCTTCCCAGGATAACCATTCAAATATATTTTTGTTCTATAATATTTTCTGATTATTATTTAGAATTTTTAGAATTTTTTATGATACTTTGCATTAATTATATAATTTTTATGAGCTATTTTTTCCATTAGAATTAATATACATATTTTTATTTTATATTGTTTTTTTTTTTTTTCAATAAATACAACATTTCATATCAAAATAGAGTGTCAGCTAATAAAAAAAAATAATTCAAGTAGAAGAGCGCCACCTAGTGGCTTTAAAAAATAGTCACATGTGTGCAATGTTCTGTACAGCCTGTAGGCTGCCTATAGCTTCCTATTCAAATACATAGAAAGGCTTTTTGATTCTTTTTGTTGGTTTAGACATGATTTCTCATGTCTGTGTGCGTGTGTGTGCGCATTTGAGCAAGATTTTTTTCTCATTTATTGATTTTATTTTTCATATTCTACAAATTTGCTGGTGCAGTCTTGCCAGTTTATCTGTGTATGTGTGTGTGTGTGTTTGTGTGTGTGTGTGTGTGGGGGGGTGGTCTTATTTGCACTCTTGATGTTCTAGAGTGTCACCCCTTCATTGCTGTACACTTTTTTTCTGCACAGTTGCTGATCTGTAGCTTGTACCACCAAAAGTTTTTCTGAGTTTTCCTATTTTTTCGTATTTCCCATTCATTTCCTATGTCGGTCATTTTTGACCGGGAGGAAGCTGTGTGACTTTTTTTTTTTACGACCCTTTAACAAATCTGAATCATCTCCTTGATTTTTTTGTGTGTTCATATAGGTAATACAACAAAAGTCACCAAGTTTCAGCCCGATCCGATCAAGCAAAAAAATTAAACATTTCAAAACGTAACAGTTTTCGGTCATTTTTGACCGAAGAAGCCCAGAGGGTTAAGGTGCAAATTAAGACATTTTTGATATAATCTGAGCGCTGTCTCACTCCTCCGTATGCCTCTATGTAATTTAAACTTGCCGGCCCAGAAAGTTAGTAAATACTAACCTTTTAAGGTATGTTATTTTCCTCAACACTGTATAATCCGCTGCGGACTAACAAAGACACTAAAATAAGCACAAAAAAAAACATACATTTATGTAAACCAAATCTAGGGGCAAGAATGACGTCAGTAGCCTAATCAACCACCCAGAAGAGCATCATCATTTGTTGCTTGCAATGTGAAATTGCATGTTTAGCATTACATAACTTTATGGATCCTATTAAGTCGGGTCACCTTTATTTATTTATATAGCGATTTGTGTAAACACAAAAATAAGGATCAGTGATGCAAATAGAATTCAATTCTGCTGTAAAGCAGCTTTAAAAAAGACAATAGTGCCATTATTCAACTAAAGTCAGTCAGGGCAGGGATATGCAGCTCATATGCATTTAAGGTGGTATAGTCCCCGAAACAGCTCATTTTTAAGCAGGCCCCAAAATGACATTTTCAAATGGTTATAATAAATTAACTATGAGGTATTTTGAGCTGAAACTTCACAAATACATTCTGGGGACACCCGAGACCAATATTACATCTTGTAAAAAGGGGCATAATAGGTGCCCTTTAAAGTTGATAAAACTATGAAAAATAAAATTATAAAACAAAATGAGTTTTGAAATCAGCTTTGGAGAAAACAGTGATGTCATCATCCAGCTGAGTTCAGTTCTCACCCAATAGTGTCAGTGCAGTGAAATCTATAATATTTCTAAATATTAAGCGTCCCCAACTAAGCAAGCCAAAGGTGTCAGTGGCAAGGAAGTCAAACCCCACCAGATGACAAAAATTCTATTAATTTCACCTGAATCCGTAAAAGCAATCTTTCGGCAACAATGTTCTGTTGTTTAACTATGTGATGTGCAGCATGGACTGTGTGCGCAAGGTGAACCGATCAGGAGATCAAGGCTGTAAAATTAGCCAGACCCTTGTGCTAGATTACCTATAAAAACAGTGTGAGATGAAAGGCACGCTTGTTGACTTGAGTTCAGAAGCAACCAGCGAGGCAACTTAATGAATATTCACCTCAAAGGGAGCGAGATAGGAGCTCTGTTCCAAAACCTAGTGAGCTGCCTTGCTGTTTACTGTCTACAGACGGCTGCCTTCTAAGGGGCTGTTCGCGTGTTTTTACTTTGATGAGATGTGATGTGAGCATTAGAATAGAAAACGCAAGGTCTCCAGCTGCATTTTATACCTTTACGGGCAGTTCACACAGAACATGTTTTTGCATTTAATGCAGGACAGTTGAATAGAAAATGCAGTCTCGAGACTTTAAACTTATTTTAACTTGATCGCCACAATTTTTAGAACACATATTGTGCGTGAGACACTGCACAAGACTCAAAACGTGAGCATATTGGTCAAAGAAGTCCATCTAGCACTTGTTTGCATAGAAAAACAATGGGAAAGCTACACAGTGGGATGCAAAAGTGTGATCTGTGTGAATGGTCCCATATTTTACCTTGAGCACCACATTTTTGAAATGCAGCGTCAAGCACGAGACGCTTTAAATAACGTGAGACCCGAGTACAATTTTTGATATGTTTTAGCGTACCTCAAGGGCATCCAAGATGTAGGTGTCTTTGTTTCTACAGTATTTTCAATTTTTATATTTTTAGGTCAAACCGTTCTTGTCTGTCAGTCATATAATGGAGGTCAATGGGGTCCACCTCAAAGAGCATGCACAGAGAAGTCCAAATTAAACATGATTTAATGACTCGTGAATGTAAGTACACATTGATGGCCTAAGACACGAAACGAGCGGTTTGTGTG